TTCCCCTTTATTTTTTTAGAAGTTTATTTAATTCCCTTACTGAATTTCAGGTACTTCTCGTATGAGCATTTTTATGTCATTTACTGCAAATTTTGGGAGCTCGACACAGACCATGACTTTTTTATCGATAAAGAGAACCTTATTAGATATGGAAACCATGCCCTTACCTTCAGGATTGTTGATAGAATTTTTTCCCAGGTTTGTTGGGTCATAGCCAATATGTGGAGTTGAGATTTACCGGGCCCAGAGAAGTTTCTTAATCTTAATTTTCTTTTTCTCTTTTTGGTTTTTATCTTGTCTCTCAGGTTCCAAGGAAATTTACCAGTAAACTTGAAGGGAAGATGAGTTATGAAGATTTTGTTTACTTTATACTTGCAGAGGAGGACAAGTCATCAGAACCTAGTTTAGAGTACTGGTACACTTCACCTTCTCAGATACTGGGACCCTTGTATGTAGTATCTTGTAAAAATCTGCTGGCATTTCTCACTTGGGTGATTAGGAAGGCAAATCATACTCTTCTGACATCTTTAAAGATTTAGTGTGGGTGTAGAAGGTAAAAGAAAGAGGATGGAAATTGGAAATCCTTCTTCTTCTTCTTTTTTTTTTTTTTGGGGGGGGGGGGTGTTTACTCAATCATCGCTTAAATAAAGAGAAGAAGAGGTGGTCTCATCTTTTGGGTTGCAAAGGTTGTATTTGTTGTGACATGTGACATTCTTATGGGGTACCTGCTTAGATAAATTTTACTACTTATTTGTGGTAGGTACTACTGTAATCCAAAGGGATTAGGTGGAAAAAAATAATTCCAGAATTATCACCAGGAAAAAACATCATGCCAGAATCTGAAGATAACAGTATCTTCAATACAGCAGGGGAGAATCCCCAGTGCAAAGATAAAACACGTTCTGCATCCTCACAACTGTTATTTATAAGCAAATACTTAACAGAATCCTGAACTGCTTCATGACTGCAACTAGTGCATAACTGGACGTGAAATCAATAGAACATCCTATGAACTACACGCGTAACTACTCCTTCCTACAGAATAAGGAATTGAACGAGGAACACAAGATAACTTCCCTTCACTGCCATCTGTTTTACTACTGTTTCATCCACTTGCCCACTACTCTCCTCTATCCTTGCCCCCTCTTCTTCCTTCTACTGTAAATGACAGGGATGTGGGCCTCTATCACTTTGCCGGATGAATTTATTTATTAGACAAGTGCTGTTGTTGGGATGTGGGAAAGTTAGGACTTGAGAGATTGGGTACATGAAGCATAGACCTACCATAACATAAATTATGAGACTCTCAGCATCAGAACTTCAACATTCTTTATTTATTGGAGCTTGATTTGCATATGATCTGAAGTTCCTATATTTTGAATCGATTTCATGAGGATATATTTTCAGAATTTCCCTCACGGAATTTTTCATCACTTCCCCTTCCCATAAGAATTGCAGCAGCCTCTTTAAATAGAAATTAATTTACACTTCTTTTGTCGTAATAGGTTCAAATGCATTGATTTGGATGGAATGGAATACTTACCCCAAATGAACTGCTGTTCTTTTATGAGGAGCAGTTGCATCGAATGGAATGCATGGCCCAGGAGCCAGTGCTTTTTGAAGACATATTATGTCAGATAGTTGATATGATTGGACCGGAGGTCTTTCCTTGTCTTGTTCATCTTTGGTTTTGCCCCCATTTGCGTCTGTTTTCATCCTTCTGCAGAAGGGCTAGTGCTAACAAAACATTTATGCAGAACGAGGGATACATCACATTAAAAGATGTGAAAGCCAGCAAGCTTTCTGGGAATGTTTTCAATATCCTTTTCAACCTCAACAAGTTCATTGCTTTTGAAACACGTGATCCATTCCTCATACGTCAGGTAAAAGCTAGCTTTAGATCCTAATCCATTCTCAATGCTAGGCTTTCTTTTGGTACAGTTAGCTTTTGAATTCTGATTATATGGTGGGTATTTTGTAAGGAACGCGAGGATCCAACTTTGACAGAGTGGGATCGTTTTGCACACAGAGAGTATATTAGGCTTTCTATGGAAGAAGATGGTGAAGATGCCTCAAATGCTAGTGGAGATGTCTGGGACGAATCACTTGAGGCTCCATTCTGATTTTTTTGGGTAAGTTGAGTGTATTCATTTCGTTGATAGCTCTTGCAACTGGATGCTTATGTATGTTGGTGTCATTTGTGATGGCATCAATGTTGGGTGATTTACATGAATAGTTGGACTAAGATCTAGGTTGATATATCGACATGTTGAAGCAGTAGTGACAACTCAATTTCTTTGTTAAGTTATACATACCATTTAATGGGATATAGGTTTGATACCAGGGGGTAAGAGTTCACCTTAGCCATTCATTTGCAATTAAACGGATGCTTCAGATTGCATGGATCAACACATGAATTCTATGCACCCTTATGTAGAAAAGATCTCTTCATCCTTAATATATTGAAACACAGACGTATCAGGCCTAAGTTTTTTTGTTTAAAAACAAAAAAACAAAAAGCGCACACATTTTCATGTTCAAATTTTAGATCAGAAGAAATCTTTGCATCAGAATGTCTAGAGAGAAGTTATGCTATTTCTTGAGTTCGATTTTACATTTCATCTGATATAACTGCAGACGCATCAGTGGCTATGAATGCTTCAAGAGTCTGTAGCATAAACGGTATTACATTTGGAGAGGCCTGCTGCAGACGTACGGAGCTCCTGTAATTGTTCTATATAGAGGGGTCCCTATGACTTTAAGTAGAAGGAAAAGGAGCAGGTTGGTTATAGTACCTCAGGAAGAAGACAGGCACGCTTCTACTTGGATTTATTTTTGTCCATATACATTTTTCTTAGACTAATCCAAATCAAATTAATTTTCTGTAAAAAATTATAGCTGGAGTTTTTCCTCTGTTGTCATGGTCGTCATTGTATTTTTTTTTTTTCCTTCACAAATTCCATTGCATTTTTTGTATTTTAAGTATGTTCCCTTTATTAAGTACATAGTGAGGAGAGAACATGAGAAGTTTATTTTCCGGGTATAAAGGGGTATTTCTTCATAATATTTTTTATTTATTGTTTTTCTCTACCTGATTTTACATAATATTTAGTGGTATAGTTTTCTGTCTTCATAAACGATGAAGGGGGTAATGTCAATCTTGGACATGCATTTGTAGCACGATAGCTGATGAAAACAAATAACCGTAGCCATTTTTGGGGGGCGAGAAGTTCTATATGCATCATGTAGTTATTAATGCACATCCTCATAATTGATTTGCTTTTTTTTTTTTTTGCCCCCCAACAACTTTCTCCCACTAGATGGGACCTCATAACTCATGTCAAGTCCTGATAAAAGAAAAGGGCTGTGCTAAAATTAACATAATATTTTGTCAGATCTTCTATGATATGAGTTCATGATAAAAAAAAAATTGTTTTCATTTTATATTTAATTTTTTCAGAAGGTTTCTTTTGTGCTATGCGATGGGTGATATAGACGGAAAAAATTTAAAGGTTGTCAAAGATTGTATTTATTTTTTATATTTAAATTATGTTGAAATTGTAGAAAAAAAGAGTAGAGGCACAAAGGGTGTGCTAGATCCAATCAAAATGTGTAGCGAAATAACGAAAAGACCAAAAAAAAAAAAATTAAAGTCTAAAAACAGTATCTCATTCATAATTTATAGCTAACGGAATTTTCTGCAACTTTTTATATTTTTAAGTGATGGCAAGTTGTGCTGGCTTGTCTTGGCTGTGGATAATTTGAAGTTGAGAAATTAATATGACGCAAGTGTTTATAGGTATTTTTAGTTTTTTACACAAGTGGAGGGAAAATTTTTTTTCACATATTTATTTTATATTTGGTAAGCTATAATTAGTATATACTCCCTCCCTCCGTTCCTTATTATAAGAGACATTTGGTGCTTATGGCATATTCCTATATATAAGAGACACTTAAAAGTTGTCTCTACTTTTTTGTGTTGATTTCCTATTTTACTCATATTTATTGTCTTCAATTCACACACTCTCTCCCTCTCACTTCTCTTTCTTTCAATAATTTAATTGTTCTCTTTCATACTCTCTCTCCTTATTAATGAGGGTATTTTGGAAAAAAATATTTTTTTTACACATTGATTGTTCTTAACTACTTTTAACTGCTTTTTTGATCAACGTAATTCGGTTATTCGTCTCTTATAATAAGGAACGAAGGGAGTACTATTTAAAATAAGCTCGATATAAACTTGGACATAGACCATGAAACGTAACTTTGAGTGGCAGGTTTTTCAATTAAAACACTGATGAATACATATTAATTTTTTTATACTAAATTATAGTTCAGTTAGAAAATTTCTATCTGTAATCTCAACATTAAAAAATGTGTTTTTTTTCTAACAAAAAAATTATAGAAGTACAAAAAGTTAAGCATATTTCCTTTTCCCGCTTTAATGTTTTTTTTCTTACCAGCCTTTTCCCGCTTTAATGTGAACCTTTATTACATTCAGTGATTTATATTTTAGACGTGACATGAGCCACGTCTTGGCCATCCTAGCCACGCGATGGTCTTTTGAACTCCAAGTTTTAGCAATAAAAAGGTCGGTGTTTAGTTAGGTCATGGCATAACATAACAAAAAGAAGAATATTACGAAGGACTAGTATCAAATTTATAAATTAATTAATAAAAAATTTTAAGTTTATCACTTAGACACCTACATAATAAAAATTTATCGATCAACCGTTTTTGTAAATTTATAACTAAAAATATTTAGTACATTAGTAAAAGGGGAAAAACACTAATATATACATGCATATAAGTATACTTATATGTATAAATAAAATCGGGACAGTTTTGCTGAAAGAGCTCTTTTGGCTCAATTGACCCTAGCTCAGCTTGCAAAGCCACTCCCAATTTTAGCGTTCAGCAGCAACACCAGATCCTACTGTAGCAGAATCCGATCAAAGGGTTGCACACTGGTACGTGCCTCTTCATTTCCTCACCTTCCGTTGTTTTGGCTATCTTTCGCCAAAACTGAGTCATAGAGTTCAAATTTGTGCCCTAGATCATAATCAATGTGAGATTTGAGCTTCAAAGTTGAAAGAGAGGGTTTGAGGTGGCCGCTTGTGTGGTTGATTTTCGCATAGAATGCGATCGAACCTATTTGCATTCGCGGAGGAGTGGAAGTAGAGATAGAGGAGAGAGAAGTTTAAATAGAGGGTGAGACTGGCAAGAAACGGGGCTCCTTGTGGTTTTAATTTTGTTCATCGGATTTAATAAATTCTTTGACTGATACCATTATGGTTTCCAATTCCTCCAATTTTCGCGAAGCCACAAAATGTTCAAGATATCCTATGACCATTGGAGAAGTTGGAATTCTGGTTTTTTTTTTTTTTTTGAAAGCCAAGTGTTTTATCTCAAATGTAATGATCACGACTGGTTGTGTTGGGCTAGGATAATGATGGGTTTTCTTAACAATGTTCAGTCTGTGCTTTTGTAACGGTGACCTGAGTGTTCGGTATTTTCATTTTTGAGAAGGCTAAACCTTAATGGCTATTGTTTGATGATGCTTTAAGTGTTTTCAATGTTTGATTTTTTTTCCCCTCTTTAAAACAAGTTTTATTTTGGATAAGTAGATAATGAAGTGTATACAGATCTAGATGTGTCCATTTATTCAGTTACAGAGCCTTGTCTAAATAGAGATTGTATTTTTCAGAAATTTGAATGCGCAATCCAGTCTGCTTACTGATTCATTGTTTATATAGCAATGCTTTTGAATCATATGGTTAAATTAATGGTTGGTAACTGGGCCTGAATTCTGTAGCCAATTTGAGTATACTGCTTTTGGTTAATAGGAATTATAATCTGGTCACTGTCAGCTCCCAACATTAACCCTCAATGTTTTGCTGACAATAGAAATTTCTGTGAGGAAACCATGAAGAGCATTCTGTCTCTCCAGAGGACATCCCTAGTCCGACATCATAGTGAGAAGTACGGTGTTGGTTACAGATTATTTAGCACTCAGGGTGCTTCTACTACTGGTACTCCTCAGGCTGCGCCGCCGCCGCCCGCCACCCCACCTCCAGAGAAAACCCATTTTGGCGGCCTTAAAGATGAGGACCGGATTTTTACCAACTTATATGGGTTACATGATCCTTTTCTCAAAGGTGCCATGAAACGGGGTGATTGGCATCGAACTAAAGATCTGGTACTTAAGGGGACTGATTGGATTGTAAATGAAGTAAAGAAGTCCGGCCTTCGTGGACGTGGTGGTGCTGGTTTCCCTTCTGGCCTCAAATGGTCATTCATGCCAAAAGCATCTGATGGGCGTCCTTCCTATCTTGTTGTCAATGCTGATGAAAGTGAACCTGGGACTTGCAAAGACAGGGAAATTATGCGGCATGACCCGCATAAATTGTTAGAAGGATGCTTGATTGCTGGAGTGGGAATGCGGGCTAGTGCTGCTTATATTTATATAAGGGGTGAATATGTAAATGAGCGGAAAAACCTGGAAAAGGCTAGGAAAGAGGCTTATGCAGCTGGTTTATTGGGTAAAAATGCCTGTGGCTCAGGCTATGATTTTGATGTTCATATCCACTATGGTGCTGGTGCTTACATTTGTGGTGAGGAAACAGCACTTTTGGAAAGTCTTGAAGGGAAACAAGGTAAACCAAGATTAAAGCCACCTTTCCCCGCCAATGCAGGGTTGTATGGTTGTCCTACCACTGTGACAAATGTGGAGACAGTGGCTGTTTCCCCTACTATTTTAAGACGTGGGCCAGAATGGTTTGCCAGTTTTGGCAGGAAGAATAATTCCGGGACAAAATTATTTTGTGTGTCTGGGCACGTGAACAAGCCTTGCACTGTTGAGGAGGAAATGAGTATTCCCCTGAAGGAGTTGATAGAGAGGCACTGCGGAGGTGTTAGAGGAGGGTGGGATAATTTGCTCGCGGTAATTCCAGGAGGATCATCTGTTCCTCTAATTCCCAAGCATATATGTGATGATGTTTTAATGGATTATGATGCACTCAAAGCTGTCCAGTCAGGGTTGGGTACTGCAGCCGTGATTGTGATGGATAAGTCAACTGATGTTGTGGACGCCATTGCAAGGCTTTCTTACTTCTACAAACATGAAAGTTGTGGCCAGTGCACACCATGCAGAGAGGGAACTGGATGGCTCTGGATGATCATGGAAAGATTGAAAGTTGGGAATGCAAAGCTAGAAGAAATTGATATGCTTCAGGAGGTGACAAAGCAAATTGAAGGACACACAATTTGTGCCTTGGGTGATGCTGCTGCTTGGCCAGTGCAGGGTCTTATCAGGCATTTTAGACCAGAGCTTGAGAGAAGAATTAAAGAACGTGCAGAGAGGGAGTTGCTGGAGGCTGCTGCTTAGACTTTGTACCAAGGTTGTTTCTTGGATCTCTCTTTCTAATTACTTTTTTTTTTTTTGTGACACTCTTTCTAGTTACTTTATAAAAGTTTTCATCTTTTCTAATTTTGTTATGATTGAGTCTGAAAGCAGTGTAAAAGTGAGGGGGGGTTCATAATTATATAAATACTTCTTTTATTTTTCAGACAATAATTAAATTTCAATTCTTTGATCTGGCACAAAATGTTAATGGATACTTTTGCTGCCTATACTGTTGTGGAATGATGTGCCTTTGGTTTTAATCAAGTCTAAATAAAATTTTGGTTTGTAATGTACTCTTTATCGATGCAAGAGGGAGATATGCATATGGGAACTCGAGTTTTAGGGCTAGCATGAACTCATCTAAATAACCATCCACCCCATTGTTGAAATATACCAGCGTGTTATTACAGTGTAACGGTAGATGCTTAATGTGTGCGACAGTATTGCTGATATCGTTCGAGATCTGTCCCTATTTAGATAAAGAAAAGATTTGATACAAATGAGTAGATGGTTGTTCTTTGATACTGTCTTGGTATTTTGCTTATACAATACCCTTTAACCTGTCTTGTGGAATTCAATCAATTCAACCTCATCGTGGCTCAGCGATCTGCATTTCCTTTATTTAGAGGCTATGATTTCTACAAGTTGGGCTTAGAACTACTTTCGATATGCCCATCTTCTTCCTTCTTTTCTTTTTTAATTTACTTCAACTGGCTTTTATTGAATATGTTGCTTGCTTGTGATTGTGACTTGTGACCAAGTAAAAATATGAGCTCTAAACGTCAAGAAGCAATTGGGTAACGCATAAGACATCAACACGACTCGATGATTTGATTGAGTGTGCTAGAGTATCTTGTGGGTATATGGCTAAAGCTGGTTGCCACTATTTTTATGTTTCTATTTGAAGTAATAATTTAACGTCAGTTGCAAATCTGATTGAGCTTCTCTTATAATGTCTTAGGGGTAAGCATACTGGTGGATAGCAAGAAATGTAATAAAGTCTGTGCCTCTGATTTTGGAAGGATGGATGGCTCCAGTTTCGGCGGCCTTGACGTCTTTCTCATTTTAATTTTAAAATTTAGAACTTGATGACTGGAACCAGAGTAATCTTCTGGACTTGGATACAATGTGTTTCCTGAACAGGGCCTTTGACACAATTTCATGTATGAAAATAATATAATTTGTTGTTAATTGTACTAAACAACCGATGATTATGTGGTGTTTGTTGTTTATCAATCAATGATGATGCTGAGTTATAATGTGAACTACGTTGCCGGGGCCGCATCTGAGGGAGATATGCTGTTTATACTGTTTCATCTACAGGAAGATTGGTCTGTCATTTTGTAACAGCCAAACTATCTTGTGGAATTTCCTTGCACAATCATAGAGGGGTCCTTAGTTCACGTGCTTAGTTTCTTGCGGAGAGGGGTTTCCGTGCCTTAGCTGCCGCTCCATTCTCTCCCTCTTCTGTTCGAATGTCATCTTGCATTTATTTTTTTGGCCCGGGGTATCTCCCACCCACACAATAAGGGATAATTTTTTGGGTATTGTCAGACGATTAAGTGTGGACTCCTCCTAACAATGTTTTTCTCTGTATGCACCATTGTAAAGATCTAACTTGGAACATAATGCTTAAAGTGTTCAAATTTCTTCCATTTGACCTAGTACTTATTGGTATATTGCATGTTTGTTTTGTCTTGCTATTGTCATTTTTTTCCTTTGGTTAAAATAATTAAAGAGGATATTTTAGAAACATCTAATGCAATTTGAGAATAACCAATCAAATTCAATGGAAAAGTGTAGAATCGAAGTAGCATCTTGTGAGACATTAATTTTCTGTTTTCCAAGGATTTATTTTTAAATATTTGATTATTAGATTAACAATCCGCATTAACAGGATGTGAAGGAGAAAATTAGTTCAGTTTACATCATTTGATTAAGACTGAGGGAGATTCCTTCGAAGTTCAAACATCCCAGAGATAGAGTACTGATGGGGGATTAGGTGGAAAAAAATAAAGTACGGAATAAAACAGAAAGTGAAAATGATAGGATTATGACCTTTCAACCTTTCGATGTAATCTCTTGAGAATGCATGAGAAAGGATGATGCTGTTGATGATAATTTTTTTTTTTTCACCGGTTGTTATTTTTACACCTAATTTTCTTTTTCAGATATTAGTTTAAATGCCGAGATAGATTGCTTCGAAAAACAAATTGAAGTGATAGATTACAAAAATAGTTATTCAAGCATTGGTTGAAACTAAAGTGATAGGAAGTGATGAAAATGAAAAATAAGTTTTTGATAAGATCGTATGGCTTAACATAACTCGCTGGTCAGAGAAACAGGTTTAAGATCACACACACATACTACCTCTGTTCTTTGTTATAACAACTTATTTGATTTTTAAATTTGTTTTAAATATAAAATTTCAATCCATTTTATCTTTCATATTTATCGATTTCTTCTCAAAGTAGTCTTTATAGTAGTTGTACATATTAAAAGTTTCATCAAATGGTAATTCTAACTAGTAATATCATGATTAGTAAGGATATTCTAGGAAAGGTAATGCATATTTATAATAAATAACTAATTTAACTAATTTTCTTAATTTCTCTAAGTTAGTCAATTAGGTCTTATATTAAGGATAAAAAATAATATAGACTATTAGAGAGAGTGTGTGCGCGCCTTCAAATTAGTTCATGATCAAATGAAAATTGGATTATTAATATACTCCGCAGAGTAATTTTATTTTTTGGATACATTGATTAATTTGAAATCTAGTTCTATGATGAGTAATTTTTTTATCTTAAATCATTAACTAGCTTGAAGACGCTACACAAATTTGTTTGGATTACATGAGTTGGTTTCAAGATACTTAAATATTAAAAATAAAAGTTAGAAAAAAAATTGTTTGAATTCAGTTTCAGAGTTTCTAGACGTAGTTGTTTGCCTCCCAAGTTATACCACAACATGACTTTTTTTTTTTTTTTACTCAAACTAACTTTTAATTTTAAGAATCGAAAAGTCACTTTTAAATTTCTCACTTGTATGTTTATTTGGAGATACCTATTATAAATATGTTTATATAAGTCGAGATAAAATTTATTTCACATATTTATTTCGTATATTCTAAATCACAATTAAAAAATCGTTTTTAAGATATCACATCATTGTTAATGAAAGTCACTCTACATGATTTTTTTTTCCCCATTCATTCAAACGTTTCAAACTCTCCAACACCAGTTAGGAAAAATCAAATTCTTTTCATTTGACGTAAAATCAGTCCTGAATCCTGATGTGTGGATTAGAGTAATTAAGAAAACTTACCCTTCCTTAACCCCCTGAAGCAATGGGAAGTATCTTCCAAGGTTGATAAAACTGACTGGTTGGCGTAATATCGATCTTCAATTTGAGGTCTCTTTACGATAAATGTTAAACATTGATTTAAAATATTAAATTTAAAAAATAAAGGTAGGACAATTAGTTAGACGATCTTTGAGCCACCGAATTTTCAGAACTTGATGCGTGTGTTTTCAGAAGATTTTATTAAAAACGTCAAACATGAAAAATTAATACTCCTCCGGTCCTTAATATAGGACCTAATTATTGAGTTGGCTTTGGTCCTAAATATAAGACCCATTTCTCATATTTATCAGTTTTCTCTAAATTAACCCTATAAATACTCCCTCAACCATAATCAAATAAAAGAGATGGGGGTATTAAGAAAAATGATTATAGTGTTTTAGGAAAAACATATCACATTTTTAATAATTAACTAACTTACCTAACTTCCTTAATCTAATCAAATTAGTTAAATGGGTCTTATATTAAGGACCGGAGGAGTATATTGATAAAATGTCAAAATTGTGACGTGATATGATGAATTTAAATTGTGTATCGATAATCATTGAGACGATGATCGAAACAATTATCATTGGGCATTTATTTTCTGCAAAAAAAAAAAAAATTGGTAGGGACCCGCCTAATTTATCGACTCCGTGTGCTTAAAAATTGAGTATGGATCTAAAATTAAACAAGTAACTAACATTATTTTGAGGTTAATCGTTAAGATTCTGACACTAATAACATTTTTTCAAGGAGTTTAGTTGTGATAGAAAAACGAATATTCAAAGTAAACTTTGAAGCGCGTGGGATTAAAAAAGGTGTAATTTTTTAAATAATACACGTAATGTGATGCGACTGTGCGTAACTTCGCGATTAAACTCTTGTCCCACTGTTAACATGGCGCTTTCCCACATCCCTCTCTGCTACGGACACGTTTTCTCGTATTCGTTTTCACCTTATTTGAGCTTTTTCCTTTCCTTCGCTTCTCAGCTTTTATGTTTTCGCCGCACATTGTTCGCGTTTGCCCCCACCTTTGAATTGAAAGACGAAGATGCCCATTTCCCACCAGCAGTAATCACGGGGAGGATCGCCCTCTTCATTTTCCTCACTTTCACTGTTGTCACTGTGCCTTCGTTCCATCACAGGGCTTCTTTGCTTTACTGGTTTGCATCCCAGCAATTCAATCCTGTGTTCAGGTTCAAATTTTCCGGCTATTATTATGGTCTTACCTTTGTTGATCTGATCACAAATTAGCGGTGGATGCTTTCTTTGCTTTCCTGCATTTCTTTTTCCGCAACCGGATGTTTGGCTGGTTTGGCTAATTACTTTGGTCACTGCTAAAACAGGATGGCTTTATTATAGTTTAAAGATTTGTCCATTTAGCTAACGTTTTCATGCATTTAATTATTTTGTTTGTCCAAGTCCGCCTGGGGATGTTTTTCTTTCTTACCTCATTCCAGTCGGTAGTGTTTGTCTTTCTGTACAAAAATTCTTTATTTCAGTTGGTATATTGTTTATTTCATTTTGGCTTGATAATTAGTTTTTTAAATAATTTATTTTGGGTAGCCTGGTAGGTGGCTATTCCCGGCATCTTATTTTTATTTTGAACATGGAGAGCTTTCCACGTTCTCTTTTCCCGTTAAAACCATAATTGGCTGTTTTTCTTTTTGCCCCCTTTGGTCATCCAAGTGTTCTTTTTCTGCTACAAAGTTTGTCAATCAAGTTTCTCTTTGGTATGAAGTAAGGCATGTTAGAATTTTTCTTCCTCTGAACCAACTTTTGTTTTCTATTCAGGTTTCATCATTTATAGTGTATCAGCACACTAAGAAAGGAAATTGTGCTTCTTGTTAATATGGTCCTGGGAATAAGATCAAAGAGTAGAAAAACTGTCTCAATCCAAGTGCACTACATCATCCATGTTCACGAGATCAGACCCTGGCCTCCTTCTAAGTCACTGAGATCTGCTCAATCAGTTGTTCTGCAATGGGAAAATGGTGATAAAAATTCAGGGTCTTTTGCTTGTAGTTCAAAAGATGGGAAAATTGAGATCAACGAGTCTTTCAGGCTTCCATTACTTTTATTGAGAGAGTCATCCAAAAGAGGCAAACACCATGACGCTTTTCAGAAGAATTGCTTAGACTTTTACTTGTATGAACGCCAAAATGACAAGACAGCCAAAAGTCAACTCTTGGGATCAGCCACAATAAACATAGCGGATTTTGGAGTTATTAAGGAAATTACCACCATACAAACACAGGTGAACTGCAAGAAGAGTTTCAGGGGCTTAGCACAGCCATTCCTTTATATTAACATTCAGCCGGTTGATGTAGAGGGTTCTGACTCATCACCGAAGAGCAGTGTGTCAAAAGAAGTGTCGCTAGACAAGGAAGAAAATGAATCTGCGACACAGTCTGTCAATGATGAGGATTTTGAAATTGCCTCTTTTACTGATGATGAGATTGATGATATTTCTTCAAATACCTCACAAACTGTCAAATCTGCTTCTGAGACTACAGGAGGTTTGCCACCTCTAAGTGATAAAGTACTCCAATTGAATAGCTTCTAATCCTGCACTATGTAAACTGATCTAAATCATGCTCTTCATTTTGGTATAATACATACACTGATCATCAACATGCGTTTTCAGTTTAGTTGCTCACTGCAAATTATTTTCTATTGATGTTACTTTACTCTTGAGCTGATCATACGCTGCTATATCAATTACTGTTGCAGTGAGTAATTTTCCATTTATCTCCTTCATACAATAACCAATGTTTTCAACTCCAGATGTGTTAACGTTTAACTCTCTTTTTGGATAAAACATATTATCTCCTATAATGGCAAGTAGATATAATGTGACAGAATTAGATAGAAATCTGAGGATTAGGTTACCCATTCTTCAGGGCAATCATATATTTCTGCTGAAATGCATTTGTTTGGCTTTTCTGTGATGATAATAATTTTGCCCAAAAAAAAAAAGCTTCGCTTTGATGATAGGATGCTGCCATTTTATTGCAGATAAGGTGGAAATTAGCAAAGTGGGAACAACAGGATCAACTCAGGAATCCGTTGAACCCATGGAGACATCTTCTGCTGGTTCACATATAGAAGTTGAGACTGGGACATCATTGCACTCATCGTCTCTGGTTTTGTCCTCAGATAACAGCAACACTTCATGTGATGGGACTTCTTCACCAAACTTTCCTGAGGATCATGCCAAGGTTGCTCATGCAAGTTCTCGAATTCTGGAATCTGCTAACTCAAACATACAAGCAGAGGCTGGAGCATCCAAAAGATTCAATAGAATTAAATTACCCTTACCATCTGAGGCCTTGTCCTCAGATACTAGCAATGCCACATATAATAGACCTTCACCAAAATTTTCTGAGGATCATGTCAAGGTTGGTGATGTAAGTTCTAAGATTCCAGACTTTTCTAGCTCATATGTTAAAGAAGAGGCTGGAGCGTCCAAACAATTAAATAGAATCAAGTTACACTCGCCATCTATGGTCTTGTCCTCAAACACTAGCAATGCTACATATGATAGGTATTCTTCGCCTAAATTTCCTGAGGAATGTGTGGAGGTTGCTGATGCAAGTTCTAAAATTCCAGAAAGCACTCAACAATCCAACAGGCAAAATATTTCCAAGGGTGCCATGGTCAAAAGCTTATCTTCTGCATCATACATTATGCAATCAAACATCCAAAGCTATTCTCGATCTCAAGATAAGGAACTTCTTCAGAATCCATCTGAAGATGATTATGCAAGAAATGGAAAAATTGCAGGTCCTACACGACCACTGAGTAGGAAAGCACGTGAACAGCCCAGAAAAGTTTTGATTAATGATAAACCAGAGGATTTGACATCTCTTAAATTGCCTTTAGACACTTCTCAGAACTATGGTTTACTTGGTAAGAATCGAGCCCCAGAAAAGGCAGAGGAAAATAATACTCTGAATGATGATCATGTTGATGCTGCTTGTCATGAAGGTTCTAATACAAATGACAGCTTAAACGATAATGAAACCAAACTGAAGTCTGAAGTTCAAATGCTACGAGAAGAGCTGAGGGAAGCTGCTGCTCTTGAAATTTCACTTTACTCTGTTGTTGCTGATCATGGCAGCTCAGCAAACAAGGTCCATGCTCCTGCTCGGCGCATTTCTAGATTCTATTTACATGCTTTCAGAGTTGGATCACCAGCTTCCAGAGCTAATGCAGCCCAAAGTGCCGTTTCAGGATTTGTCTTGGTTTCTAAAGCTTGTGGAAATGATGTCCCGAGGTACTAGAGCTCATTTATATATTTTTTAAACGTTGCATAATATACAGACCCAGGTGCTCTCAAGTGGAAATCTTGCTCTTATATATTTGATGCTTTTACTGCATCTATTGTGGAGTATGGAAGCTTTGATATTAACAAAACCTAATATACCTGAAGAATTTTATTTTACTTTTACTTTCATCCATTATGGGTTGGGAATTTTAAAATCCGCCTCTGAAGGCTTTCAAATAATTTATAAAATATGAGTGCATATATGTATTCAGTAAGAATTGATGCTTCTTCTTTCATCTAAAAAGATGATGATGATGATGATGTTCATTTACCTTGAATAGGTTGACCTTCTGGCTCTCGAATTTAATTTTGTTGAGAGCAATTGTAAGCAAAGGAGTTGAAAAGATACAACTTGATGACAGTCTGTGCATCAATAGTGATAGAAATGGATCAGTTAATGGAAGCTGGCTGAAGAGGTCACCTTCTTGTGATGGAGAAAAAGAAAATGCAGTCAAATATTTTCATAGTTGGGAGGATCCACAAACATTTTTATTTGCATTGGAAAAGATTGAAGCTTGGATATTCTCGCGAATTGTTGAGTCTGTGTGGTGGCAGGTTGAAGCAGAACCCTTTCTGATTTCCTACTTATTTTGCCTATCTGAAATAAATATTTTTGCTTTACTGATAAGTCTTATGTTGCTTTGTTGTCCCAAGACTCTCACTCCACATATGCAGTCTGCTGCTGCTAAGAGCTCCAGTTCAAGGAAAGTCTATGGAAGAAGACATAGTTTAGGTGACCAAGAGCAAGGAAGCTTCTCCATTGACTTATGGAAAAGATCTTTCAAGGATGCCTGTGAAAGACTTTGCCCTCTTCGAGCTGGAGGCCATGGTTGTGGCTGTTTGCCTGTGATAGCTAGATTGGTAAGTTTTAGTATTCTGCTTTATGCATGCATATGGATATTAGTAATTGTATTATGCAATCATGTAACTATAAAGCTGAGGCAATATTCCTATAGGCAGTCATGTCATGCTTGTGTGAGAACATAGAAAGGACATTGATTGGAACAAATATTAGGAGTAATTTTTGTAGTTACTTGGTGATGATGGTGGTTCGTTAGGTTTAGACCCGTTTATTCTTTGTACATTATTGTTGTCTCTTGACCAATGCTACTCCAAAGCCGCAAGTATCTCAACGGTTTAGATTGATTTTGCCTACTCCTTTTCCTTTCCACCATGAACATATTCATTCTTGTTTTTCTATCTCTGACTTTGTAATAGATGTTGTCCTGGCAGATTTATATATAGTTCAGCATCTGTAATTGATCAGAGTTGCCAATGTCAACGGAAAACCTTTATAACCTCCAATTGCATCGTTCTCTGATTGGTCCTTATTATGAGGGAAAAGTTGTCATTTCCATCTTTGATTGTATTATTGTCTACCGCTGGTTAATATTTTGTGCATGCATGTCCTTATGTTTGTGTATTGAAGTGGTTAATTATATATCGTTGGGGGGAAACTTATTTGATCAATGTTTTTATCTTGTAATGACGTTAACACTCTAATTACTAACGTGTTATCTTATAAACTAAGTGTGATGTGATTGAAATGTAACTTTTTTTCATGCTTGTAGGTGATGGAGCAGCTTGTAAATCGACTTGATGTGGCAATGTTTAATGCTATTCTCCGTGAATCAGCTGAAGAGATGCCAACTGATCCTATATCTGACCCCATTAGTGATTCAAGGGTTCTCCCTATTCCTGCAGGAAAATCAGGCTTCGGGGCTGGCGCACAACTAAAAAATGCTGTGAGTGATGAAATTTCGTGTCATTCCTTGTTTCATTGTTATTTTCCGACTTCTAATTCATGATAATCTTCCAACCTGTCTGCAATATTGATAGAGTTCCGTTAGTCTATAAGAGGAATAAGAGTAGGAAGGCAGTTAGATATTGACTAAGTCCTAGTTTGCTGAGTCAGATTTCTTTTATTATTTAATGTTATTTAATATTTCCAAGTCAGTTAGCATAATTATCGGGATTGGGATAATCCATTAGAGTCTGTTATGCTGATTTATCGAGTCTTTAGCATTATGGGTCAGTTTTTTATGCTTATTCTGTTGTAATTCAGTTCTATATATATGTTGGCTGTATTTCAAGCTAACATATCAGAATTAATATCATTCCTTCCAGTATTAGGAGATTCTCCCGCTTGGCTATTAAGCTTATTTAAGTGAGATTCTTGCTTAAATACAGCCTAGTAGATTTTATTTTCCCGAAACCACTCTCTGCACCTACCAAATATCTTGTTCTTATCTCCTACATATATTTTTTCTACCACTAAATCATAAGGTCCACCGCTTCCAGTGTACAATAAGCATTCTGCATTTGTATGATTTTTGGGAAGGCTCTGCTAGCTGATTAAAATGAATGATGTGAAGTATCAAGTGATAATCCATGAGCTCTGGAAAACAAATTTTAGTTGAATGTTAGATCAGATTTACAATTTTTTATTTTTGTCTAGGGTGTGAAATACTTTTTGGCAGATGACAGAATTTTCCAATGAAAAAAATTAATGAGATTTTAGATTCTATTTACAAGACTTTGTCCTAAGGTTATAATAATCCTGTTCATTTTGAGCCTCTTTGCCTTAGTGCATGAGTGTATTTCATTATTTCTTTTCTTTTTTGTAGGCTTCTCTTTCTCTCTCTCTTTCTTTTTTTTTTTTTTTTTTTTTTGGGGTATTAAGACATGAAGTAGAATAATGTTACTATTTGCTCTTACTCTGATCAAGGATTGGCAGTGTATTCCTTTGATTAACCATCATTCCTCTGTTTCTAACTTTCGATTTTACTCAGATTGGGAACTGGTCAAGATGGCTCTCAGATTTATTTGATATTGATGATAGTGACTCTCCTGAAAATCGGAATGAAGATGCTGGCAACGGGAGCCCAGAGTGTGAGACATCCTTCAAGGCTTTCCATCTCCTTAATTCACTGAGTGATCTAATGATGCTTCCATTCGAAATGCTTGCTGACGTGTCTCAAAGAAAAGAGGTTAAATCAAGTTTTAGTCTTGTTCCTCATGTTTCGAGCATTAGTACTTTATCATTTGGTATTTATCATCTAAACACTACTGTAGGTATGCCCTACATTTGGCGTACCATTGATAAAGAGGGCTCTCAACAATTTTGTCCCAGACGAGTTCTGCCCGGGGCCCATCCCTGATGCTGTTCTTGAGAGCCTGAATACTGAGGTAGGTTGGTTAACATTTATTTGCTCTCTCGTGATATAAGCACTAACTTAAGCGTAACCAATGAATTATTGACTGTTGAGCAATGAAAAATGAATTGTTAACTAAATAACTTTGTTAGGTCTAGTTAGCTTTAGTCTCTGAATATCAGTTAGTCCTAAAAATAACATTTAATGCATGTTAGTCTGTTAGTCAAAATGGCCCGGTATATTAGAATATCTAATCACGTTTTTTTTTCCTTTCCTGAGACTCATCTAACAACTCACTAGCCATTTTTTTAACAAACATCATATAAGAAAAGCATTCAACATGAATGGTATTCAAGGGGAATGTCATGCTTATTTATACTCACGCACCCTTCTCACCGATGTGGGATTCACTAAACTTAGGGCAGTCATGAACTTTTGCTACGTCTGTGTATTGATGCTGTATTGTGTTACTAATGTCGTACAAAGAACTCCAACTTTAAGCCTCTTGTATCCCAAAAGGGCAGTAAAATGGAAGAGGAAATTAATGTTAACCATCTTTATGGTGTTTGTGTTGGTTTTAGGATATTGAGGACGACGAAGGTTCTATCACCAGCATTCCACATATCGCTGCCCCTACATCCTATGCACCACCTCCGGCAACCTCTGTTTCAGGCATAACACAAGAAATGGGCACCCAATCTCTACGAAGAAGTGGATCGTCAGTGGTTAAAAAATCCTACACTAGTGATGATGAGCTTGATGATTTAGACTCACCCCTATCTGCTATTGGGATTGATGAACATTCATTTGTATCCAACAAGTTTCCAGTAGTAAATGAAGGTCGTAATTTTGTTAGATATGAGCTTCTGCGAGAAGTATGGAGGGACAGTGAATGATGACCCATTCCTATGTGACTTGTTTTTTTTTTTTTCGGTGGTAGATCCTATGTGACTTGTTTTGTTTGCCTCTTGTGTATATATACTATTTGCATATCTTCCAATATCATTTTCAGTCATTTGTTGCAAAAAAAAAAAAAAAAAAACGCATTCCCCATATTCTACTGCTTTTCTTGTAAACTTGATACCTAAAGCATTGGGGAGGATAGCGACGAAGTCCCAAAAGATTGAATTTTTTACAACCAGAATCTCAATACATGACCTGCAAATATCAAATATCATTCAGACAATGACATCGACAATCAGATCCTCAGTACAATACCAAGATTCCTAAGCTTAAAATGTCATTCGAGGTTCTAAGTTCCAAGTGGAGAATGACGCCAAAATTAGCCAAACTTGACAGTTCACTAAATCCAAGCTCTGATACTGGGCGAATTCTGCAGTTATCGTTTTTTATGATCAGGGGAGATCTTGATCCCTCCCAGTCCCATGCCGGAGTCAAATGTGCGAACGGCGAAAAAACCAAAAGATGCAGAGGATAAGGAGCACAACTGAAATTTTCACGGGTTCATCTTGTCTAGTTTTTTTTTTCTTCTTTTATACTCCCGAGGTAGGGGTTACTCACGGATCATAGGATGTCACTACATCAAAAGTGTTATACTTGGGATAATCATAACGCCTCAACCAATAATTTTTGCCCAAATGTTCAATTTTCGTCGCGGACCTTGTGGTGTAGACTGTAGCCCACCAAATCTTTTGTATGTTATGTTCTACTCTGTCCTTTAGATGGATTATATTTCAGATTATTAGCATTTTTTTTAACTCCTCTCATGTACATATTGAATTAATTGGAATTATTATGCTCATAAATAAAACTGAAAGCGAGTATGTTCGCTCCCAATGCAAGTCAAGAAAATAAAGAAAAGGGGAAGAAAATTGGGTTTGTAATTTATATCCTTGTGTTGCATTGCTATTTGTGGTTTTGTGCTCCAATTTTCAAAAATGCTGTCCCATATGATGCGTTCCCAAGCTTATATGCCTTCAAAGCGTTTTCTCCAGTTCTGCCAATAAAAGCTCTAGTGACATGCTTTTCCTCCAGGATACTACGTGTTTCCATGGGCATGAATCCTGAGAATATATAGCTCCCAGCTGTGGTCCTAACTGTTTCAACTATTTATTCCATAAAGAAATATGCCCCGGAAAACTGAGAAGAGAACAAAATACAGACGGATAATAAAGAATTTGTACAAATATGCCCCGGAAACTGAAGGACAACTTTTCAGCTTTAAAATATCAAAAACAGAGGAAAGAACGCGAAGTAGAACAAACTAGCCTTCCGGAAGTGAGTTTGCACAAGGTAGTATAAGGTGAAAGTGATACAATAATATCTATATCACAGTAAATCATCCCTAGGCAGTTCCATTTCAATGCCCTGCCGATCAATATCAGCTTCAAATATAAGGACTAGTTAGCTAATCTGAGTAGATTAAAAAAATTAGTTAAATTAGTTATTTGTAATAAATAAGTGTTGTCTTTCTTAAAATATCATTGTCAGTCAAGTGTATTGGCTATAACTACCATTATTATAAATACTATCTTGAAAAAAAATGTATAAATATGAGAGACAAAATAGATTAGGATCTTATATTTAGAATCAAAATAAAAATCAAACGAGTTCTTATATTAAGGATTAGAAGTAATATTATACATGATTTAAAAACCCAAAACTCTTTCATGACATGGTAGAAAGGAAATATCTATAATAGCAGAAACTCAGTCATATAATGGGTTTATATTCATACCAATAGGCAATAGAACAAATGACAACATTAACAAGATTAAAAATTCCAAACCAAGAAAATATAATAAAGAACACACGATATATTTACTACTACTGATTAATCATAGGAGTACATAAACATCCATAGAAGTAAAAAGATGAAGTAGAACTATCAAAAGATGAAAAACACAAAAGAGCGTGTATTGATCAATAGAAGAAATCTAACACCAGAATTTTCAGATCAGTATGGCCACAGACCTCGTTATTAAACACCACGATCTTAACGTTGGTAACCAACTCTAGAACCGCAAGAAACAAGCCAGTCTTGGGTTCAACAATCTCAACTTTTAAACAGAGGAAACGAAGCATCCAGAGCAACTCAAACAGCACATATAACAAACCGCACCTGACTCAGAAGCCTCTTACTCCAGCACATCGCCAGTCAGCATACTGCATTTGACTTCCCCACATAACCAAAGAGTACTGAAGGCTACCCTTGGCTACGTATCTTCTCACGTTTGTTACAGTGATCACATGCTACCTGTATGGTTAACAGAACGGATATGCAGAAAAGACACATATAGCTCCCATGCAGATGAGTACCTTTGAGCAAGCTACAAAAAGTGAAGTTGATCGAGTCTAAGATGAGAATACACAAACAAGAACCAATCCCAGCAAAAAGGCCAAAACAAAAAATGGATAGGTAATTCCTAAACATAGTGTATACATAAGTATCTTAAACACGGATAATTCTTATTGTCGTCTCAGCAAAACTGAATGAATTATTAATTAGCACATGAAAAACATGGCAAGGGCTGTGAACATAGTAAAGTTAGTATATATGAATTGTGAGAGCAATATGGTTTTCAAAAAGAAACCCTTTTGAAGAATGGAAGCCCATCAATACATTTGCCAATTTGATTGGTCAGAAATAAATGTAAGGACAAAGAACCACAGCACTTTTACTTATAGTGAAAATCATACATTCAGCTGACATTTTCAAGTGAAAAGCTTATTAGAACTACTAAGGCCCTGGTTACAGGACAATGCAATCCTTGGAGAAGTGTCCACTAATTTTAGCAAGAAACCCAATTCTTGTGAGTGCTAATGAGTGCCGACAGCAGTCCCGCTGAAGACACAAATAATGGCCTAGATAATGGTCCTCTCCCATCCAATATATCATCCAATGCCATAAAACCATCAGCCACATCTTGAATTAAAGAGAGCTTCTTCAACAACTTCTTTTCCCTTAATCTGTTTAACTTCGCCTCATCTTCTTTACACCCCGAACCCGTCGCAGATTCAATACTCGATTTCAAGCATTCCTCGTCATCACAAATATTTCTCAAATCCCTCAGCTTCAAAGCAATACTACCGAAGTATCCAATAAACTCAGCCCAAGCACTGATTTTCTGCAAATTACGTGAATGTTTACTGTCGATTAGACCTGATTTCGCCAGCCAAATGAACTGTTCAACGAAGTAGTACAAGCCTTCACCACCATAGGCAATTATAGAGAGAACCCAATCCTGTTTGGAATCAGAATGAGCATTTCTCAAAGCGTTCAGGTCCTGAACAAACTTACCGATCCTGAAGGCTTTTCGACTAACCCCAACACTGGAGTCGAACCTCTTGAGACGTAGAGATAGGGATGGATTACCCTGAATAACGGAGGAGGCGAGGATAACCTTGGAAGCGTATCTGGAAATTTTGAGTAGCTTGTCAACGCCATCTCTCTTAGCAAGGTAAGCTTCGAGATGGGTAAAGAAGTCTCTGTGCTTAGCTTTTGGATTCTGTGGAGGAAGAGAAGGAATCAAAGGGGCTCGGGAGGAATCGGAATTCATAGGAGCGATCGAAGGAGGATCTAACTCAATTCAATGAGAATTTCCCGATACGACAAATTCAGCATCAACCGATCATATGCTGCTTTAGCGTTTTTTCCCAATCAAGAGCTTGATGAAAATGGGGGAAAAGGAAAACACATTAACCCACGCTTTTAATTTAAGCTTTCAGTTTTTAAGCGATTTGGCTCGAGTCAAGAAAGCATTTTTCTTATGAAAAACCTTGGAAAATGACAATTTCTAATTATTGATAAATTGACTTTTCACAAAAGTCATAGCATTTCAGTAAATGTATTCATAAATAATATACACTTCCATCCTCTGTATATACATTCTTAAAAAATACCGCTATTTTTTTAGTGAAAAGATTACCCTTGAAAAGAAAGAGTGTATAGGAAAAAAGTATAAATAATTAATAAAGTAATATAATATATAATTAATATAAATAAAAACTGAAAAAAAAAATAGTTATAATTTTAAATATTTTTAAAGGGATCTTGCAAATAAGATTATGCTTACTTCAAAAATTGTAGTACTTGTAGCCGTTAATATAAGAGTTAAATAATTAATTTAAAAATATATTAAAAAATTAGTTAAATTGGTGAATTATAACAAATATATGTTAGCCTTTCTAAATTATTATATTTAATTACTATAGTTAATTATGTGTATTGGGACCACTTCTTAGTAAAAACCCCTTACAACCAATAAAAATATTTTAGGGGAAAAAAAGCTATACCTTTGAACATGGAATAGATTGTGATTTTATATTTAAAATCAAACTTAATTCTCAAATTAGTTCTTGTATTAAATACTAGTGATTTTTTTTTTTTTTGCCAAAAGTATCTTTTGTACATATACAGGAAGTATGTGCATATAACCAGGATTCAAATGCATTTACAACTATTTTTCAAAAAACACATTCTAGTTACAAACTACTAGTTAAAGTATATTTTTAGTCATTTAACTTTACATAAGGTTTCATTTTAGTTCCTTAACTTTAAAAAGTAAATTTTTAGACCTCTAACCTTAAAAATATTAACAAAAAATAATGATATTGAGCTCCTGAATACTGATAAAATATTATATAATGCTAACATATTAAGTGTAATATTCAAAATGATTATGATTGTTACAAAAAATTATCATTTAAAATTAACAATTTTAGAGTTAAATGACTAAAAATATACTTTTTAAAGTTAAAGGAGCATATTGAAATCTTACATAAAGTTAAAAGACAAAATATATACTTTAGTTTAAATTGCTTATAGAAAATTATTAATAGTTCGATTCCTTAAAACAATAAATCTCTTGAGATTAATAACCATATACAAGTCTACTTCTTTGATTCTATTTATAAGTCACTTTTAACATATTTTACATTAACTAAGAAAAACCTTAAATTTTGTTAATTCTTATTTAAAATTTAACAACTTTTCAACTTTATCTCTATTTAATATACATTATATTCCATATAAATAAAGTCAATGCAATAATAAATTAATAATAAAATTGTACGTTCATA